TCGCATTTGCTATTTGGAGTTCTGAACTTAACGTAGCACATTAAATCATTCAATTTTTGGATTATGTTTAGGGTCTTTCACACTTTTTGTTGCTTTTCTTTTTTCACTTTTTTTTTTTTTTCATTTTCTTCCAGCTTGTGTATCTTGAGACTATGTACCATTATACAGCAAAAATTTGTGTTTTTATTCCTTTATTCCAGTTAAATTCATCGGATATGTTATCATAAAATACCAAAGTTGGTCCTGTTCTTAAATTTACTTGGGGCTTCTACTTAATTCAAAATTTTAACTGCTCGCTGTTTGCATAATCAAAATCGGCCATCAAACTAGGAGTATTAAAAGTAAATATATGAATTCAGTTCATAATAAATAATTAAGTGATGGTACGGGGGCAATAGTGCTTTTGTCTCATTGTGGATAGGCGATTATGAGGTGTAGATGTGGTTTTTGGTCTATACCAAAAAATCAAAATCACCGGGATAATCTGCTATCCAAATACACTCTGAGTTTTTTATAATGGTGGATTCGTGGCAAAGTTGAGATAAGACATTTGATGGGATTATACACTCCTAATACACTGTAATGGGGAGGAAATTAAAGAAACCCTCTCATTTGGTAAGAAATTGTAATCGCTTTTAAAAGAGATACTAAAAGCAAGTTTATTCAATTCTCCTTATTTACCAAACAAAAAATGTAACAATAAATACTAATCATTAGGGATATGGGATAACCTCATTAGGCCTCAGGTCGTGTGGTCGATTCTGACTCTCCTACCGTCTCGTGTATCCTTAGGGGGCGAGGCGCACGGGTACAAAGAGATTAGTTTGACAAAAGATGGGACACTCCCAGTATTGACAAAAAAAAAAAAAAAAAAAGAAGAATACTAATCAATAGTGAAAGAAAGAAAAAGGAGGGGGCAGGCTTTCCTTGAGATTGTTGACATTTTCTTCATTGAATTTAGGACACCGGGCATGATAATTTCTTCGAGGATACGCGTGTGCAGGATGCAGACCCAATAATACTCTGGATCCACATACGGAAAATGCATGCTCATGGCCCACCAATACTGTGGGCCCATATACTGAGACTAGTAATAATGGCCCACCATATGGGCTGCTTCGCTTCTAACTCCCGTGACCCCCTTCTTTTTCTCTCTCTCTTTTTCGTTTTTGATGGAATTGTTTTTTCCACTATTCCGTGTGTGCATTTCTAGGGATTAAAGAAAGGGCTCTGGGGAACCAACAGAGCCATAATTATTGAAGTCTAGGGAAATTCTGGATGAATGCTTATACTTTGTACTACATGATTTGGATGCAAACTTGAAGGAGAGGGGGAGGGGGAGGGGGGGGGGGGAATGCATTTCAGACAGTTGGGCCCAAAAATATTAAGCATCCAAAGGAAATTAAAGGCCCGTGATGATTTTTGGGAAAATAATAAACTGGTGCATGGGTGGCTTTGCTAGGCTAGGCTAGGCTGCACTTTATTATTATTATTTTTTTTATATAAAAAAAAGTCATTTTCTTCTATTTGTTTCAACATCTATATAATTTTTTGTCCGTGTTTGAGATAGGAAAGAGTAATGAGACTAGTTTCGAGTGCTCGGATAAACTAAAAACAAATGTACTTGTCTTAAACAAGTTGGCTATCAAAAGGGATTTAAAATCCCTCTTTGATAAGCAGGTAAGGAGTTTAAATCTCACACCTGAGATACAACACCCTGCAGTTAAAAATTCCGAAAAATTAAATGTACCAAAACACTCTTTTGATTCTCATACAATCTAGTTGAGTTCCCCTTCCCCCGTGGAATGGGATAGCATATCCAAAAAGTCCCCCTCTCATGTAGAATAGGATGATAAAGATGTTGCTAATTTACAAAAAGTTGGACTAAAAACATTTCTTGACTAATACAAGCTAACCTTTGCATCTCGGTTGCACAATCATAATCTCATCCTTTTCATTGCTGTTTGAAGGAGAAGCCTTTTGAAAAATGAGAAAGGAATTCAAACTAATCGAGTTTATGTTCAATTTGTTCTACCAGTGCATCCAAAATGTTAAAAACAATAATCTGAATACACGCACAAAGATTAATTTAGCTATAACATACTAAATCTTCAAATTTGTTCTTGAATTTGTAAAGTCTAACATGAGGAAAAAAAAGTATGCTTTGGCGAATTTACAAATTTAGAGATAAAATGTTGGGAACATGAAAAAAATGGTGGCGATGTTGATTTTCTCTCTAAAATATTGTAAAAAATTGTCACTAGAGCCGGCCGGCCCTTGAAAGTTTGATTTCTTTCTTTATTATCTCTTTCAAATAAAACTTTTAACATATGTTTTTATGCAGAATTGACCTATTCAGAATATTTTATTTTTCCAAATTCGTCCTGAATTTCGGACTGATAATATAACTTCTTGTGCCATCTTGATCCCTCTGAATCTTGAAGGTCGATAATGACGCAGATAATTTAGGGCTAGAAGAAGAATCAATAGTTCAACACTCGACATCTCAACAGTATAGATGCCATATTCAATTTGGAGGATCAATCTGAAAACCAAAATTACACCATAAACGAAAATTTGAAAACACAATTATGGTGGCCTTTGGTCGAAAAACTTGCATTTGAAATTTCCAAAGCATCATAGTCACATGTTAGCAAAGACTATATAACATTTAGGATACACCAAATTTCAACATTAGAGGTTTGAATTTTCAATTTCCGATGTTTCCCCTCTACTTAATTGATTGATACAAAATAAATAAATAAATAAATAAATAAATGAATAGAGCAAGGGACCGCTAACCGTGATGGATTGATCTTTCGTAGAAGGGACCCCTTGGCCCCGGCTAATATCAGTCATAGCTGGCGGGAATGATCAACAAATCATGCCTTTCTTCTCTTGTATTTCATGGTTAATATTTCTTCATCTTCTTCTTCTTTTTGTTTTGTTTTGTTTACTCTACTAGTAAGTGCTGTATGTTATGATCGGAAATTCAGAATTTTCAAGCTCTGTGGTTTCGAATTTCTACGTCTTTTTTCTCAGTTTCCTATCACTTTGAAATTCTTCACTATAGCCATATAGTACAAATTACAAGAAATGGTGGTGTGTTTGGTTCTCCTTGGTCATCCATCCATAAACGGGGTGCGATGGTCATCGAATTTGTACAAGATGTTGAATTAAAGGTTGCCCTTGAGATGAACTTCACTTCGAGTTTTCCTTCGCTTGTCTTTTCTCTAATTGAAAAAAATTACTGCGAGCAGAAATCAAGATCGACTATGCCGCAGCTAAAAACATATCAAAACTACCCCCCAAGAGTTGAATACATGATTCAAAAAGCAAAACAAGCCTTAAACAACATATTACGCCAGAAAACGCACCAAATAAATGAACCAATCTAAAGAAAACAATTTCACCCCGCCTGTATCAGCATCCGGGATCCTGCTGAAGGCTTAAGCTGTCTATGTTTTTACAAGTAGATAGGGCTTGAGAGGGGGTCGCAGCGGTCAACTGGCCGGTTCATGCACGATTCTTTTCTTTTCTTTACGTCGCTATAGCGGCAGAATGCTGAGATTTCTTCAAGAAATTAACAGGGACTGATGACGCTTAACAACCGGTCCATGCACGAATCTTTATACGTCGCTATATATAGCGGCAGTATGCTAAGATTGCATAAGAAATTGGAGTTAAGAAATTAACGGGACTGACGCCTACCTAACAAACGGCTTGAACGAACATCTATCTCCTTTTATGGTACTCTCTATCTATACCTTGTTTAACATTAGCACATACCTTAAACCAACTTACCATAAACTTCCAAAATGCTTCTATATACGGCTGCTAGACACGTCTCAAGATTTTCTCAGCTCATTGCACTATCAATTGGGTTTAAACCCTCCTTTATATAGTCTTCAGGGGATTACTTTATTCTAACTTGGCGTTTTATAAATATGAAAGATTTGAAAGATTACCTGCTAATTTTGTTGAAAGGGAGATTTGGACTAAAATAATTGAAGCCGTTTCAAGCCATGTATATATATATACGTGTGTGTGTGTTGGGCTGAAGCTAGAGCTAGAGAGCATCGGAAAGAGATTGGAACAAAAGATGGGGACATTATTGTTTGCATGCAGCCAAGGGTAAAGACAAGTAGTGTGTGTCGACATGTTGTGTTGAGACAGAAGCAGAAAATGCTGACACGTTTTCTGTGTGTGGTGAGTTTCATTTGAATCCTAAATTGGAATCAAGATCTCATCTGCTGTAACTCCTAGGTTAATATATGCAAACAGATTTATCTCTGAGGAAAAAAAATATAAGCAAACAGATTTATCTCTGAGGATTACATGCCTTGCATTAATACCGTCATTTTGGCTGTCAAGATTCCGTTCTCGTTCACCCAAAAAAAAGAAACAAAAAGAAAATGTAATTGATGCGAAGTCCTCTTCGTTGTAATTTGTATTTCCATGATTTTACTGTTCAAGCGCGAATGCAAAATTGTAACAAACAAATGAATCAACGAATCTTTAATTAGTTCTTGATTTGAGAGACACAACGGTGATTGATGTCTTCTTTCTACGTATATTGTGCGGTTCAATTCTCTTTTTCCCTCGTATAATCTAAATCACAAGCATTTCAACTAGTGTGCGACCTCAAAAAATAACCAAACAAAAGAAGAAACGGAAAAGGAAAAGTATCTCGTCTCTTTTAAAGAAAATAGAATTGTTACAAGATCGAATTAACCAGGATTATGCCACCCAAGTTCCACATAGGAGAAAGCTAGAGTTCAATTGAAACAATTTGATGAATTCTCAATAAGCACCAATTAGCAGCCAACCAAAAGTTAACCAGAGAGAGAGAGAGAGAGAGAGAGAGAGAGATCCGTGACAGAAAGGTACGACATATGCGGCCTAGCCCGTAGTTTCCTATCCTAAAAAGGTCATCACCTAGTCACTTCTCTAATAATTCCACAATTGATTTGGGGCAAAAGTCGAAAAGAGAGGGACTAACCAAAAAGTCAAAAACTAAACTTGAGAGAGTGCAAGAAAAACGAAAGCAAACTACAAAAAAGAGTTTAAGAAAGTGGGACGGTTACCATATTGTTGGCAAACCCTCATTATCACAAGAACTTTCAGTAAAATACACACATTTTCTTCTCTCAGCCAATGGTCCATCACCACAATCCATGATCCAACCAAGAAATACAAATTCAAACTCCAATACATTGCCCTAGTTTAGGCTGTTTGTAGGAGTGACCCAAAAAGGACTTTTTCACGGACTCACCAAAAGTGGTCCAATATAAAGCTCCCCCTTCGTAGGGTAGAAGTAGAAGTAGAGAAATTGTCTCTGTGGATGCAGTCATCTAACCCATGGCCTGCCTTTTGATTGCCAAGTCTCTATTTTGTCAAGTCCCTTCCCATAGTCAGTGGCCCCCTCCCTCCCCTCCTAATCCTCCTCTCCTTCTCTGACAATTCACAAGATCCCCTCTTCTCTCTCTTTCTTTCCTTTTCGAATTATGGAATGGTCCTTTTCCCGTTCAGCATCGAAGGAAATTTTTGAACCTCATTGGTTTCCAAAATCCATGGCTGAACTCATTGATGAAGCAAACTTGACTAATTCATTTTGTTGCAAAAAGGGCCTGCTTTCATTCCCTCCTACTCCAAGAAAATCTCTAGTTAATCCGCCTTCAGCTTCATTTCCACTTGATTTACTTTGGCTGCCCCCTCTATCAGTACTGCCAGGCATTATTGTTGGAGGGGCCGATGGATGTCTCAAATTGCCAACTAAATTATTGCTTGATCTCATGTTTCCTAGCAGCAATCCATCTCCTTGATTTGTAGTTATAGTCGATTGGGATGTCGAAGTCATTAGCCCATTCAAGTTTTCCGCTTGGCCGAAATTCTGCAGCTCATTTCTGCTTTGGTTCAAAGAATTGAAATTCGAAAGACTAGACAAAGATGAGCTCATGAGGCCAAAGCCTGTTCCAAAGATAGCTGAATTGCTTCTTGTTGATCCCATTTGAGCTGCTTTTTGCAACAGTGCAGTTGCTGACATGTGAGCCGGTGCTGTTTCATGCTGGCTACTATTTTGGCCATTGTTGTAGTACAGTGAACTAATGTGGTCTGACAAATTTCCTCTGTTCTCCTCTTCCTCCTTTAGTACTCGGGGCAGACCGGATGACGAAGCATTCCCACCGCTATTGAACCATTGATTCTGTGAAGACAACCCCAGCATATTCGTCGGAGTCATTTGGACCAGTTCAGGCAGGCTTGTTGAGCTTGACGCCAAGAAAGCATTAGAATTACCTGGATGATTTCCAATAGGATTATTGAGCTGAGTATTTGCATTATCCAACCACAATGGCAGCCTAGGTTTCTGACCATTCAGATTAAGCTGGCCCGTGGCAGGGTCTAGTCCAGCAATACTACTAGAAAATTGTGGATTTCCGGCTGGTTGAAGACTGCTTAGACCCCCATTAAACAATTCATTTCTGAAATTAAGATTCGCGGATGGAATTGGAGCAAACCTTGCACTTTCTTCAGCCAATGCATCACAGAAAGCTCGATGGGTGATAAAGCTGTCTTTTCTGTTAAACATAACCGAATTCGAACTCAATAACTTGACTAGATATTACTAATATGCGTACTCAGGCGATAATAAAAGCTCAACGCCGTTGACCATGAATCAATAAATTCCTTAACCAAACAAATCATGTATAGAACATAGATACTACGTACGCTACACATGATTCGCATTAAATTGAACTTCTATGATGGAATTTTCAGTTAAAAGGGTTTAGCATGCATACCTGGAGAAGAGTGTTCCGCAGTCGCATTTATACTCTCTAGTCCCGCAAATCTTACCATGAGCTTTCCAATCCGATTGGACCGCATATTTCTTGGAACATTTTTCGCACTTCCATTTCTTCTCGCCATGTTTTCTGCTGAAATGTTTCTTGATGCCGGTGAGGTCTCCCAGAGCTCTGGACGGGTCATGGTGAACACAAGTCTTCTCCGGACAGATATACACTTTCTTCTTGACTTCTTTGTTGGTTCTTTGCTTCAGCTTCCAAGGAAGATTGTGACCTCTCCTGTGCAGCTGCAAATTCTGGTCTCTCTGAAAACCCTTGTTACATATTTCGCATAAGAACCGATTTGTAGCCATCAAAGACTTTGGTGAGAGTGCTACCACTTCTGCATCTGGATCTGCTAAAAAATCCACAGTTTTTTATTCAATAACACAAGAACAAATATGTACTTACAGATAAAAAGGAAAAAAATTCATAAGGCTATGGAAATAAGCCAGCTTGCCTGGAGTTCCCGGAAGATTTCTCTTCCTTTTAGCAGCGTTTGAATTAGGGTTAGGGTTGGAATTGTTAGGATTAGGGTTTGGAAGATTTGGATTAGGATCTTGAATGAACCCTCTTAGTGAAGAAGCAAGCCCTTCATCAGACATCATCTTGAAGTAGAAAAGAGAGAGAGCAAGCTATATAGCACGAAGAGTTAAGAGGAGCAGCAGCTGAGCTGATGATGTAGCTAAAAGAACAAACTCAGAAGGTGCCGTGGCAAATATATATGCACTACAAAACCAACTGGCTGCTCTCGCCTGCCTACACAGAAAAAACAAAAGGATTTGCTGAAAATAGCTAAATCAAAACTTTCCCTGAAAACAAAGAAAAACCCACATAACATACAAAACCCAGTTGCATATCAGTACAATTATCCACCTCTTCAGTCTTCACTGCTACTAATACTTGCACAGATCTTCTTCGCCTTTGTTTGAACCTTAGCAGAAAAAACCATATAACCATGAACAACAGCCAGCTAAAAGAAGGAATATTTTCTCACTCTATCTTTCTCTTTCATTTCTTATCTTACACGGCTTCTCTCAAGAGAGAGTCGGTCAGCCATAGACTCAGAGTGGACCACTCTTCCTCTCTCTCTCTCTCTCTCTCTCTCTTTCTCCCCCCCTCATGCAAACACATATCGACATCTTGGTCTCCACAGTTAAAAAAAATAAAAAATTTCGATACTAATAATAATTCACTTGAATTAGTTTTAGTATATTGTCAAATAGTATGAGCTATAGTATATATTTTGTGATACTTTTCATGGCTTAGACTAAGATCGAATTCGTCCTACTTCTATTGGACTATATGACTAACTAGCATTAGCATAGAAAAGAATTATGGATACATGGCAAGGTAAAAGAGTACTATTTGACCGAACAAAAAAAACGGTAAAAGAGTACTAGCTAGTGGTAAAAGGGAGTAAAAAGATAAGAGTAGTAGAATCAAACATTAGATCTTCAAAAAGTTTGATAGGGAAAAGTGCAACGCCTTTACAGCCATTCATCAGGTAATAATGATTATGCCATAATTGAATTTGGACCCTGGTTGTGAACATTTTGAGCGAGAGTTTTTTTTTAAAAAAAAAAAAAAAAAAAAAAGAAGAGAGAGAGAGAGAGAGAGAGAGTGTGTGTGTGTGTGAGACCGTGGCACTGTGTGACTGTGTGAAATGATGGATAGACGTGAGTGAGCGAGACTGGTACGAGTATAGTATTCATACGGTGCCGTCCCGTGAAGCTCCTGACTAGGAATTGGATTCAGTGGAAGATTAGGTGGGCTGGACCGGACCCACAATGTTGTCATCGCATATACTGAGGGAGATATATCATTACCATTATAGAAGTACTACCTAGTCTTGGTACCTGTAATTATTTTTGTGATACTAACTGGTTTCCACTATTTCAATTACATCCTTATTAATTGATGATAAAAGTTTTACAGTAGTGTGCTCTTATAATTTATGATAATTTAAATTCATTGTAGAAAATAATGGTTGATGACAAGATGAAATGTTAATTGATGATTAAGTTCACTATATATGTTATATCTTATCATATTGATTTATAAATGAAACAATTTATTTATGAAACATTGAATAAATAGATGAATTATGTAAGTTGTATACATCCAATTTTGCATCTTGAACCCAATATATCTCAATTTGATTTTAGTATCATGCATGAGGCTTAGTTAGTTAGAAGAAGTATAATCAAAATTTGGTTTTATTTTTTGTGATAGTAAACCTACCATCCTTTCCAATAATTAGAACATTTTACTACATTTCAAACAGTTAGAGTCGTTTCCTTTCTAAAGTACTTCACTACATTAGAACATTTTGTGCTTATTATTGTCTAAAGTACTTTCCTTTCTAATAATTAGAGTCGTTGAATTCTAATACTGTACGTAATAGTTAACAATAGTGGTGGGTTACAAAAAATGAAGCATTGAATCTCAATTATGATGGTAATTAAAATAATAAGCACTTCTATCTAAAACTATCCCTTTCCATTTTACTCCCAATTTATTTGTTAATGAAAAATTCTCAATTATCCACAAATATTCCAATTCTAAGAGATTATCAAATATATTAATATAGATACTAGAAAAAAGATGATCTTAAGACAAAAAGTTATCGTTGCAAAACAGTAGCGAAAGCCAACTAGCCAGCAATTTGATGGCATCTACAAGAGTGAAAGAAAAAGAAAAAGAGGAAAGGTTAGATAAATATGTTAAATTACCTAATATATTGACATAGTATGTGATTAGATGATTACCGAATATATAAAATTGGATACAAATAAATGATATTAGTAGACCCATATGATATTATTGCTATAGTGTGACCACGGTTATTCATAATATCTAAAAAAAAAAAAAATTATATTTTAAAATAATACAATAATATGCAAAGCACGTGAAGTATTACTAGTACTATTAATGTGTATGTATATGTCATGCAATGCATTCACAATTGCTTGCAATAACAATCACTGGATACTATGTACATGTTAATTCTATCAAAGTAAACATCTATTTGAGGATGCACATCAGTGCATCAAACAGAAATTTTTTTTTGATTGCATCATAAATATGTTTTTTTAGTTTTTAAATTATCATTTTTATTTCACATACATCATATTACAAAAAGTGCTAGAATATTTATTTCAAAAAATCCCTTGTCCAAACATACTCACAAAAATTTCTCCAATTTTGGTTCGAATATAAAATTGAGTCGCACTATTTGATATCCAAAAGATACCAAATAAAAAGTGAATCGGGTGCTATTTTTTCTGTAAATTTTTTTCCTTAAATTTTTGCTAAAATGTTTCGATCCTCGCGGTGAATGATAACTTTAACGGTTTTAATTTTTCTGTGCTTATTTGGTGCGTGCACTCATAGAAAACCTATAAAATGTTAGCATCTCACATTTAAATTGTGATGTTCAGTATTAACTGCCTCTTGCAATTGCTGCTCATCTACGCATATCCAGAGTAGAGGAGAAATACGGAGTGCAAAGATAATTAAAGTTTGACCATAATACTTAAATTGTCTAATTTTTGAAACATAGTACTTCTTTTCATGGAAATTTTAATTTTAACCTTTAGAAAAGTATCAAATTAATGTCTAATTTAATTAGCATGGTGCAACCTCTGCATTAAACATCCTTTAGAGACAAAGGGTATAAGGGGCATCACCATGACTGATTCCAGTGTAATCGTCTACGACCCTCCCCAAGATCAAAAAAAAAAAAAAGAAGGGTATAAGAGGGCCTAGACGATTTCAGCTTGGACGATTGCAAGATTGCTTGCATGTTACCAAATTTAAAATCACTAATGATTGAGATTAGTTGGTATGCTGATTGATTAAGCATATATGATTGAGAAGTATGGCGTATTCTTTTAGGTTACTATACAATTGGTCCGTGGACAGAAGACACAGTTGCATGTTTTGCAGGGTAACTATTTCTTCGAATTGAGATGCCTCCTAGTCCCTCCCGTATATATACTAGTACTATTTAGAGAGAGAGAGAGGGTGTACTTGTATCGTATGTGTGTGTGTGAGAGAGAGAGAGAGAGAAAGAGAAGGATATGAAGTGGATAACAGTAGCAGCATAATAGTGTAATAGCAGCTGTAGTACGAAGACAAGAGATGACTGGTTGCGCTTTGATATGTCGACCAGTCCACGAGACGAGACACCCACGAACAACATACATACCAACACGCTTTTCTAAAAATTCGCTTTTCTTCTCTCAAAGTCTCAAACAGATCATGAGACGATGAGATCTTGATTCTTGAAACCAAAAATTACTCTTCGCACCCGCAAAGAGAGAGAGGGGGAGATGGTGGGCTAAATAAATTCTGATGCCTAATTGAAGAGTTAAAATTATATTGCTAATATATATATATGTAAATGAAAAAGAAAGTTCAGAAAGAATCTCTTCCGGTTTCTGAACTGTTCGATTCAGACTTCAGACACCGCCCGATCTATGCAGATGATTGATCTCTCCCTGGTCCCTCTTCCCTCTCTCGGCTGGGGGTCCCCCTCCTTCTCTTTCCTCTTGCTAATGCGTGAAATTGATAGATACTCATTCATTTATTACCTGGCCAGTAGTAGTACTGCAACATATGATACGATCACTTTTTTCTGTTCCTCTACGATGTATTGCTTGCTTGCTGGGTAAATTTTTTGAAAAGGTTATTGCCTTTTTTCCCTTTCCTTTTTCCTCCAAAAAAAATAAAAAATGAAAAAGTCTGCCTTCTTTTGTTTTGCAGAATTTAATTAGTCAGTAGTATCTAACCAACCAATTTGTCCACGCTGCGATACATAATTTTTCTTCCTTTTTTTGGTCCAAAAGAAGGGATTTCAAGACTTGTAAGATCAGAGAAGGCGAAAGAAAATTGTTGAAAGTGAAATCAAGTACTTCACAGTTAGTTATCTGATTAATTTAATCAATCGCCGCATCAGTTAAATTGGGTCTTGCAGATTACAGTTGTTTTAACCATTCTTCGAGATATATACCAAATGCCACAAGATATATATATCTCATCATTTTCCCCCCCTCATTAATGGTTGAAAGCTGCATTGGAGGAGTACGAAAGCACTGTACTTACTGAGGGGAGAAATGATGCATTGGCCAGGGCGGGTTGACGAGTGCCTGAGCGTCACAAAAAGAAGGTCACGAGCCAAAACGTACGTTTGGTGGAACTGCCAAAAAGGAACAGGAATCCAGTAATTAGATTTCTCTAACAACAAGAGATTTTATGATTGAGGGGAAACTTCATCAGCTTTGCGGAAGCTGGCTCTCATCTGCCATCACTTTTGGGCAGATGACTACAATACAGGGAAACTTCTCAAGAACAGAAAAAAACAAGGGAAAAAGAATATTCTTATCTGCTGATGTTGTAGATAAAGAGTGTGATAGCAATAATAAACACGGTAGAGAGCCAGTGTGGCGCCATGGCATTATCTGGTTACTCGATCCAGAAAACAGTCCATAAATTGCTCAAAACTATAAGATGTGTGCATTCTTGGATAGTTCTACACTTCTAGAACGCTTTTTCTTTTCTTGGACAAGCTTTATCTCGTGAAATTAGAGCGCAGATAAAGGTTATTTGGATTGCACCAAATTAACAATTTCTTTTTTCAAATTTTCTTTTGCTGTTTACATGTTTTTGTTGCCAAATTTGGTAATGGACGCGGAACAGTCATCAATGGTTTTCCGAATTATTTGCATCTTCGTCATAATATGGTTAATGCTCAAAGTTCTATGTTTGAAGGAAGAGGATATATAACTTATGCTTGAGAGATATCACACAAATTTTTCGGGGACATTTACCTTGTATATCTCCAACAATTAGTAAATTCACTGCATGGTTTCGGTGAGGGCCGGCTTTATGCAAAGAAATTTCATCAAACAAGATGAATATAATTTCTAGCAATAAGCATAACTGTTTCACGAGACCATTAGTCTTGAATCAGGCAATAACAATTACTAAACAAAATATTCTTGGTTATTACCGTTTCCCATGCATGCAAGTTTGGAGAGTATTCCCACGTAAGCCTTTTTTTTTTTTTTTTTAATAAAAAAAAGCAAGTAAGCTTTGATTAAGCTTGA